TATTTTTTTTTTTTTTAACTCAAATAGCCTAGGCTAACCAAGTTTTGAGTTGACCTTTCAAGTTAGTCCAATTTTATAACCATGAATAAAAAAATCATTTATATTTTAAAATCTTAACTCAATTCCTACAAAAATTTAGAAAATTTTAATTTTAGAAATTAAAACTCAAATTTTATTTATTGATTTGAGTTTGGAAATACTTGTTGGTATTGGAAAGTTAGTTTCGAGCGTGTTTGAGAATGTGATTGTGATTGTTTTTTATTTTAAAATATATTAAAATAATATTTTTTTATTTTTTAAAATTTAATTTTGATATCAACTTTTCAAAAATACTTTTAAAATATAATATCAAACACTACTTTAAAATTGTTTTGATGAGATTTTAGTGGGTTGCAACGAAGTTCCATCCTGGAATAGTGATGTAGAGAGGTCTCAATCCAAACATTCCATAGTTCATGTATTACATTCAAGAAAACAAAAATTACTGGGGGTGTCAATGAAAACAGTATAAACTTGGAGGGTCAAAAAATAAAGCAAATACAATAGTAGTAAATAAAAGAAGAAGCCGACAGCGCAATGGGCCACATCCATCCATAAAATATATAGCAAAAAAAAGCAGTTCCATTTTTAAATTTTATTTTTCTCAAAAACCAATAAAAACAAAAATCAAAATCCCTCTTTTCTCCTCTCTCTCTCCAAAAACCCTAATTCTATCGATTCGGTTTCACCCTCGACCAATCCTAATCTCCGCCGTCCGATCTATAACACCGCCATATCTCTCACTCTCTCTCCTCAGGTCTGCCTCCCTCCCTCCCTCCCTCCTCCTCTTTCTATCTCTAAGTTCTTGCACTCAATTTTGATTTTGATTATAATTAATTGACGGAACATCAATCGAATTAGGGATTTGAATTCAATTTTCTTGCTCCGTTTAAGACTTAGAATCTTGATGTTTTGGAAACTTTTTTATGGATCTATCAATTTTGACTATTATCAATTGACCTATAATTCTGTCATCTGTGATCGTAATCAGTGGAGTAATGTTGTTTCTAAGTTATTAAAGGATTGAAAATTCCGGTGCCGTAAAATTTACAGTCGAAGGAGAAGGAAATTAATACTTCGTTTGTTGTCTTGCGGCAGCTCTTTTTTTGTTTTTCCCCCAAAGGAGAGATCATTTTTTAGTGTCTCCAGGGCTTGGTCTGCTTTTGATGAGTTGGAAAATTAGGTTTTTCTTATTAAGGGTGTGTTTGGGATTATTGAAGTTGTTATGGTTAAAAGTAATTTTAGTTTAGAAATGCATTAAAATAATATATATTTTTTTATTTTTTAAATATTATTTTTTATATTACGTATTGAAATAATCTAAAAATATAAAAAAATAATTTTTAGCAAAAAAAATTCAGAATTCGAGGGAATGTATTTTGCACCGCGTTCCTAAACAGTCTTGATAATCTAGCCCCAATTAGGGTGTGAATTCATTGCAAGTTTTGGTTAGTTTTTATCTGGGGGGTCATTTTATTGTTTTTGATTATGTTATTATAGTGGTTTTATATCCTAGTTGTAAACCACAGGAGTTGATTGTTAGCATGTTAGCCCTTTTGGAGAAAATTTTACCAGAAATATATGAACAATTAATTCAGATAAAAAGTAATCATACAGTGATACACTATTGTATTTGTGTTGAGCTTTGTTAGACATGTTACATAGGGTAACAGTGATTGTTTGGGTATTATTGATTGTTGTAGGAAAAGTTAGGATGCTAATAGACAGTTAGGTTGAGTACTTTAAAAAACATTATTGATTGTTGTAGGAAAAGTTTGGATGCTAATAGACAGTTAGGTTGAGTACTTGAGTTGATGTGGTTCCTTGGGTTGCTCCTCTCACTTACACTGTGGGATTGCTCGAAGAAATTAAGTTCATAAGGGTGATTGATTCTCGAATTCAACTATGCTTTAATGCTCAACGATTCGTTTTGGTGATAGAGAAACTGAAATGACACAATTCTGTCTATGGGTGTGCTTTTCTAGACTACATTTGGAAATGTGGATACCTTCATTGAGATTCTGTAAGGCCAGTGACTTTTGAATGCAGTCTTAATGGGTGATGGTGTGAAGATTGGAATAACATTGTTACTTAAGCAGTTGTTGGAATTGAATTTTGTGTTTGTTTATTTCACTACTAATGTAGTAATGTACCTGCAAACTTATCTAGCATCTATGAAAATAAACCTAGACAATTTATTCTCTTCAAAGGATCTATCAGGTTTGCTTGGTTGAACGATGCTGGTTTTGAACTATTATTTTTTTACTTTTAAGGTCCTAATGGTACTGAATATTTATGCACTGGAAGAAGAGGCCTCGTTTGTGGAGATTGTTCACTGCCTCGCTTGTGCTAAGGACAACCCGAGCTCTTTTGACGACTCTTTAACAATTGAAATGACATCATTGGATGATATTTGGACCTTTCAAGTGATTCTCAACTGTTGGCATCACAAGAAATTTTGAAACCTTGCTATAGCCAAATGGGGGACACAATAGAGCTGAAGGATTGGAACGACAGTTAAAGGCACACAAGAATTGGCAATTTAGCTGTTCAAATGCTTCCAGAGTAGTTTTTCTTGCAATAAAGGAGGTGTGTTGGAACAAAATTATAGGCTTTTAGTTGTTGACAGAATTAGCTGATCAAAATGTTCAAGTACGGTTTGTTAAGCAATGTGCTCCTTAGTGGGTAGACAAGGATATGGCAATATTGGGGTTCCCTGATTAAGGCAGTATTGGGGTTCCCTGGTTTTCCTCCTTATGATTTCCGGATTGTCCATTTTAGAAGCCAGAAGCCAGAAGCTTTGCTCATCTAAACCAGTTTCAACAGTTTTAAGTTCATTACTAGGGTGAAGAATTTTTTGATGCTTTGTTAAATAGGAGAGAGCTATCTATCGCGGGGAATCTTGTGATTCAGTAGTAATGCTTAACTTTATTACCACAGTATTTTGTACTTTCCTTGATTGTTCTGAGGATGACATGTACGAGTTATCACTAAAATAAATTCTCAAACTCCACATTCCTCTTGCATATAGTCTGCATTTTCCTGTATTCTGATTTGGAACAACTTTTCTGGCAATTTAAAATGAATGATATTCGTGGTAGTAAATTTCACATGAAAAGTGAGTGAATGTGTTTTTGCAAAATAAAGAGCAGGGAAAAGATGGTTACTTATACAGTGGGTACTTTTGGTTTGGTTCTCTGAGAAGCATGCTCAATATGGACAACATGCCAGAATGTGCATTTATGAGTTGGCCAAACTAATACTACCTATGTATTCTATACAATATTAGTCAGGGTATCGGTATTTGTAATGAACAGTTTTTTGAACTTCTCATTCTTCATGTATACTGGTGGTTTCTTTTTTCAATTTAAAGATCTGCAACAGGCATCACTAATACATCATTTAAATGAGATGATCATCGGTGTTTAGGCCTGTGTTTACTCATTATGTGTCCATTTCTGCAGATATGAGATTCTGACTCCTTAATAAATAGCATACTATCTGTATCTTATCAGCATAAACTGACTTGTATTTTTTGCTTCCATATAAACTCCTATGAAGATATTGTGGTGGATGTTTACTGGTTGCTATACTGTCTGGTATAATGGTGATCCACCTGACTGAGTTACTTGTCTTTTTCCACAACTGTATACTAAATGTCTTAATCATTATTGTAGACATTGCAGGAACATATTTGCCTTTTGAGATGTCTCCAGCTTCAAAATCAAAGTCAAAGGACAAAAAGGCTGGCAAGGAACCCCAGAAGGCTTCATCAAAGCCTTCGGGACCTGCTAATGCAGGAAGTGGTATATCAGCTAGTGCATACAATCCACTATCTGGAACATTTCATACCATTGAAACAGTGCCGACATCCTCTGCTTCACCACTACACAATAATAGTCGTTTCCGAAACATTGATGAGACAGATGATCATCTTGGAGGCTCTCTCGGAGCGGGGGTTGAGTATGATTCTGTTTCGAATAATGGTAGCTGGTCTGGCGAGTCAGAAGATCACAAAGAGAAGACATCTAATCATCCAGTCCGGCAAGAAACAATACCAGGCACTGAAAATGATAAGCGGGAAAAAATCCGCCAGAAGAATGAGAAAAAGCATCAGCGTCAAAAGGAGAGGCGAGCACATGAGTTGCATGAGCGGTGCACTGGCTATCTTATGTCGAGAAAGCTGGAAGCACTAGCTCAACAGCTTGTTGCAATGGGATTTATGCATGAACGGGCAACGATGGCTCTTATATTGAATGAAGGCAAGTTAGAAGAATCTGTAACATGGTTGTTTGAAGAGGGTGAACATGCAGATAAGCACAGAGATCAAAACCTTGGTGGGAGTACTTTGAAAATTGATATATCAGAAGAGCTTGCTCGGATTGTAGAAATGGAAATCAGATATAAGTGCACAAAGCAGGAGGTTGAAAGAGCTGTGGTTGCCACTGAAGGTGATCTGGAGAAGGCTGTGGAAAGTTTAAGACAACTGAAGCTAGATCCACCTTCTTCTCCTCCAAAACCTGATGAAAATGGTGATCCTCCAACGTCAAGTAATGATAAGCATTCTTTAACAGGTAGCCAGAATATGGTGAGACCACAACCCAAGCTCAACCCAACTTCCATGATACAGCAAAGAAGAGATGATAAAGATTTTAATTATACAAAAGCAGCTGTTCTGGTGGGAGGATCTTTGGAATCAGGAAGTAAAAATGTGCAGTCCTTGAAGAGAATACAACCGAAGTCGGAGTGGCCAAGACCTCAGCCAACTCCTACTCCAACTGACAAGAGATGGCCAAATGTGGGATCAAATCCTTCTGTCTCTCACTCTTTGGCATCTCCTTTGCATGGGCCACCTCCACCGGCCAAGACAGAAACCAGTTATGTTACTGTTGGAAGTGAATACAAGAGCCTCCAGCCTGGAACCATCAGAGAACCAGTTATTATGATGCAGCGGCCTCAATCTGTAAATTCAAAGCGGGTTCCAACTGCAAGCATAAGCTCATCTCCTCCTGGAACAGCCACTGGTTGGTATCCCACCAATAGTTCTGATATCATGAAGTCAAATGGCTTGATGCCACACGTTCCTAGCACAAGAAGCCCCAGCCCAAACAATCCAAGTTCGAATCAGATGTTCCACCAATTTCATTATCAACAACCGCAGTATTTTGTCCCCAGCAGTGGCCCAGGGGATTCTCCTGGAACCAGCAAAGTAAATGGCTTATGGAGTAGAGCTGGTGTATCGCCATCACTTGCTGCTGCTTCTTCCCTTGGACTTTTCTCTGGTTTGGGCTCAACAGGTTCATCTGGGGCAACCTCTCCAGTTGATTGGAGCACTTCTGGGTCAATGGAGCAGTTAGATTACACCAGCATAGACTGGAGTTTGAATCGAGGTTTATCTTCCCCAAGGCCCGGTGGATTGTGGTTAGGACCAAGTTTAAAGAGCAGCGCTCAAGCATATGTTTCCACCGGCGCTTCTGGCTTTGGTGCTAGACTGGCAATGAGATCAGCTCCCAGCAGCAATGAGATACCCATTCCGGGATTGCGGGATGGTGGTGTGTCCAAGTCAGAAACATCCACCTCCGGTTCCCATGAATGGACCTCTCCGTTTGAAGGGAATGATATATTTGGCTTGTCAAGACAGTTTGTTTCATCTCCTTCGCTGTAGGGGCGGCAGGGGATGATTTCAATGAATGAATGAAAAAGATAAAAAAGGAAGAAGAAAAGAAAGACCTCAAAATGTGTTTGGATTTGATGTTGGTTCCTTTTGTTGATTTTTGGTGAATATCATTCCAGTTTCGAAAGTCCTTTGCCTTATCCCCTTTTCCCCTTCCTTTCCATTGGCTTGCTATCCGTCGAGTCATTACTCGAAGAAGCCAGGAGTTTGAAAAAAATGATGAGAGGATATTAAGTTCCATTCACTTGAATTAGCATGAATCAGATGCGCTATTAAAAAATAAAAATCAATTCATTTTTTATATATTTAGATTTTAAAAATTAAAAAAATAATTATTTTAGGATGATCTGACATTTTCAGTACAATAACTTCATTGATTAAATATCATTTTATCAATAAATAATTAGATAGAGTAAGAATCTTATTTCTCTCTTATAAAAAAAAAATAAAAAAATAAAAACAAAAAAAGACTCGCCAATAAAACTCACTTTTATGTGAGCAAGGAGTACGAAACAGTGCTTTTACGCGAGGAGAAAAAAAAAAAAAAAAAACCGTGGTCATGAATACTCATGAATCGGTTTTATATTATTTATTCTTGAATCTAAATTCAAATCTAAAATAATTATTCAAATTTGATTGAATATAATTTTTATAGTCATCCAGTATATATTTATTAAGTATCCAACTCAACCCTGAATTCAAATACTATAATCTATAACTATTTAATACTTAATTTATTTGTATACATGCAACTTTTATTTATTCATTCATTTGTTTTAAATTGATTTCAAGTTAAGTAATCTAATATCTATACTCAACCTAACCTTTTGTTTTTAAATTTTACAATTTTTTTATTAATTTAGATTGATATCAATAGCACCAGTTAAGGTGAAATTGCTATCCTCAAATACTAAATTTCACACATGATAAATAATTCCTTTATTTTATCATTCATCATGATATTCATATTGATAAAAAAATTAAAAGAAAAAGAGATTTTACTTTGTTTCTCCTCACAAAACACTATCTATTAAAATAATATTTTATTTCTTTTTTTATGTTTTTTAATTTCAATTATATCTTCTAAAATTAAGTTTACTGGGAATTGTATTTTATAATTTGTTTAAATTAACTTTTACAAGGTTATAAATTTGAAGGGTTGATTAGAGGTTTTTTCCCCTCTCTCGGTTTACTTTACTACTCCTCACAAAACACTATCTATTAAAATAGTGTTTTGTTTCTTTCTTTATGTTTTTTTTTTAATTTTAATCATATCTTTCAATATTAAGTTTATTATAATTTTTTAAATTAATTTTTACAAAGTTATTTAAATCTCATGACTTGCATTACAAGTTTGAAGGGTTGATTCGAGGTTTTTTCCCCTCTTTCTTATTAGTTTTTTTTTTTTCTTTTTAAATTCATCATTTAACATTAAATTTATTGAGAATTATGTTTTGTGATTTATTTCGGTTTGTATTTTATGATGTTATCTCCATATTATAACTCGGGTCACAAGTTTGACTGTTAATCCAGATTAAATCAAGTTGTTTTTTATATCCTATTTTTATTTTTTTTTAATTTTATATTTCAACATATTTTTTATATCCTATTTTTTTTTTTTAATTTCATATTTCAAAATTGAGGTAATTAGAAATTAGATTTTATAATTTTTTTTAATTTACTATTTATTAAATTATCTTAATTTTGTAACCTAGATTGTGAGTTTTACTGGTTAACTCAAATTATTTATTTATTCTTTTCAGTTTCATCATTCGATAATAAATTTATTGAAAATTAAAATTCACAATTTATTTTGATTTACTTTTTATAAAATTATTATAATCTAGATTGACAAATTAACATAAAATAATATGAATTAATATATTATATTTCCATCTTAATATTGATGAAATTTTTTTATTTATTCTAAGTCAATCTATAATTTTATCAATCATTTAGGTTGTTTTTTAACCCACCAAGTTAAATTCATCAAATCAAATCAATTCTCATGTAATTTTAAAAAAATATTTCTACTAAAAAAATTATTAGCAATGCCTATATATTCTATACAATTTTTTTACGTTATTATTATTATTATTTTTTAATTCTACCAGCAGTTTAGCATATATTCTGATAATAACCCCTCCCATCAAAATGTCTAAAGCTAGCTTTCTTCCCAGCTGCATAGCTTCATTAGCTTCAGAAAAAGGTATTACAGTTGTAACTACAAGAAGATTTTGACTAGAAATTGCTTGGATATCTTTCCCTATCCAACCACGTAGCATTTGCTATTATTCGTTCTGATTAACAAAAATTGTGAAGACTACTCACAGCAGAAAAGAGGCAGCGAAAATTCGAAGTTGTACCTCAATGAATGATACAATTATACAGATGTGACCATTGTTTTATACAAGAGAATAATTCACTCAACAGACGGGGAAAATTCGGGTGGAGAGCTACAAGTTGTTGAAGCAGGTTGTTGATACCACTGATTTGCTTCACGAGCAAGGAAGTTGGCTTCTGCAATTAGAAAGAATGATGATGTGAAAGAGTCAAATTTACAAATAACATGAGGAATGTGAAGAAGAGGTTTCTTCATTCATTGAGTGCGCCTTGAGTTTTTCCTAAAAGATGAAAACTAGCCTCTGATTGTGTACCTTAATCCCTCTTGCTTTTAATGCATCTCGAAGTAAATCGAAACCTACTTCAGTGATATTAGGGGTTTGCTCTTCAAGCTTCAGGAATTCTAGTGAGGCATTTATGAAATAGGAAGCTAAGGGCGGGACTAGCTTTACCTGACACAAAAACATCCTGGTACTCATCTTCGTCATATATAAATTGCGGAGGATCTGGGGAGCCAATCCCAACTATTGTGCTTCCACTGCATGGAATATATGGGAAATGGAATTCAGATTGAGGTACAATGGATGACCGCTCACGTCAATCCCAGTTGTTATCATGAATGTTCTAATATCATCAACTTGTCTTCTTTTGGCATATCAACATTAAAATATAAAGCTACAACTGATTAGATACTTCAAGCAAACATTTTGTTTTATTCCAACTCTCCTTGCACCATTAGAAATCAACTACTAATGCTCAATTATTAAGTGGTGTGAAATAAACAAGATCATCTTGTAAAAATTGAAAGCAAGCACAAAAAAGAGAACCTAGAAAACATACGAGTGATAAGATTTTTAACAATATACACATAGGAGGGCATAACATTCACAGAATATGATAAAGATACTAACACTGTATCAAGGCTTGCACCACCTTACATTCAATCACAGCTCATTCAAGGCAAACGGGCTGAATTTAACAGTTAAGGGACACCTCCAAGGCATGAATATAACCTCATTCCATACTAATTTCAAGGTTGGTATGAAACGTTCATGCACTTGAATGATTACATTCAGAAATGAGCTTCAAATGCTTAAATGCAGCCGAACCAGGTTGCATTAATGAATATTTAAGGCAGCTATGCTGTGCCATTTTGAGTAGTTGCAGATAGATTAAGGTTTAAAGAGGGTATAGGGTTTGGAAATGGAGAAAGGATGGCCTTCTTCTGAACTATTGAAAAATTTGTACTTGACATTAGGAGTATTAGAGAAGCTAAACTATCAGTTTCAACTTCTCCCTCTCTCTGAAGGAGAAAGGCATTCAAGTGTACTCCAGTTGGGCCACTGCATAAGAGGATATCTAAATATCAAAAGATAAATTGTTAACCTGATTGTATATCTATTCCATTGTAAGTGAGCTTTAATGACCATTAGGATAACTGCTGTGTTACAGAAAATTATGCAGTCTGTATAGAGGATTTGAAGGCCTATTGGACAGCATGGTTGCTCAAACGACCAGCATTTAACTTGAACCTAAAACTATCATTATGAACATGGGGTTATTACATGCTGATACCAGAACTACAAAAATTACAATGACAAGGTGCATTAAAGAGTTTGTCACTCGCCATTACGATAGCTTACAGTAACCCATGCATTGAAGTGCAAAAAATCAAATCTCATTAAAATTCATCAGAAATAAAACACTAGAAAACCATTTTGCTGACTTAAGCCAAATGTTGATTAAATATGAAGATTCAAATCGCAATCCAGCACCATACCTTCCAGACATGAAAACAGCATCATATTGTCCACGACCAGCTGCAGCTATACGCTTTTTGAATCTTTTGAGAGAGGGAAGAACTTCAAAGGCAGGAGGTTCTGCAAGAAAACCATTCAAGAATATATAAATAATGAATATTCCATCCCTGAAAAGTAAGAAAATCAAAATGTATGATTGGACCAGCCCTGCCTATCCAAGAACTACCATGAGCATAGCAGGCTCAGGATGATAAGGGAGTCTATATCCTGCAATACCCACCCTTTATGCCTAAAAAAGAGAGGATAAATGGACAAAGAGATGGACATCGGTATTGATGTGAGAACATGGTGCAAGCAAGCGCTAGGATTAGATTAAGGGTCAACCAGCCCAAAGCCAACTATGCATGCGTAAAAGTATCCTCCATTTCCTTCTTTTGTTCTGCAATTGTCCCATCATTGTCCCAGCCATCAAATAGCATGTTTAATGTCTCTGTCACCTTTTACCACCATAAATATCATTTGTCGTAGAAAAGGTGCCACCGGTACTCCTAGCAGCAATCGATATTAATTCTATGATCTGCTGGTCTAGATTTGGTGCATAGGTAGTAGTGATGATGGTGGGTACTCCTAGCAGCAATCGATATTAATTCCATGATCTGCTGGTCTAGATTTGGTGCATAGGTAGTAGTGATGATGGTGGCAACATGGCATGAGCAGAAGTGGTCCAGATTAGGCCCAGTTGCTTCTTCTTTATATTGACCTAGAGAGAGTGTTATTGTTTTGATTTTGTAATCATTTGATTATAGAACTTGGAGGTTTTTAAGAATTGGGACACAAGTCATGCATCAAGCATGATACCAAATCAATGTTGATGCAGTTATGGATGGAGGGTCCTAATGGTAAACAGAATGCATAGTAGAGGGACTCTAATCAAATTAGTCGCTGAGGGAACCGGTTGATCAAACTACATAGTACAGAGGCCACGAGTGTAATTGACCCTACATTCATTCATATATTCGGAAAC